GGAAAACAGTATGGAAGTTACTAGAGAAGCTAAAAATAGAACTACCGTATGATCTAGGAATTCCACTACTGGGTATATAACCAAAGGAGAAGAAATCAACATATCAAAAAGATATTTGAACCCCCAAGTTTATTGCAGCATGAGGCATGATAGCTAAAACATGGAATCAACCTAAGTGTCCATCAGTGGATTACTGGATAAAGAAAATATGGTGTATATACACAATGGAATATTATTCAGCCATAAAAAATGAAACCATGTCATTTATAGCCACATGAATAGAACTGGAGGTTATTATGCTAAGTGAAATAAGCCAGGCACATAAAGGTGAATATGTTCTCACTCATATGTGGTAGCTAAAAGAGTGGACCTCATGAAGACAGAGAGTAGATTGCTGGTTATCAGAGGCCAGGACAGGGTTAAGAGGGGATAAGAGAGGTTGAGTAATGGACACAAATAGACACTTATTAATATATCAGAGTGATAAGACCTGGTGTCCAGTACCTCAGTAGGGTGACTACATTTAACATTAATCAATTGTACATTCAAAATAGCTATAAGAGAATAATTAGAATTTTCTTAAAGAAAAACTTAAATATTTAAAGTGATGGATATCCCAATTACCCTGATTTGATTTTATGACTGTACCATGAGAACATGTACAGCTATTGTGTACCAATAACAACTATTATAACTAACCAGAATATCTTGCCAGTGGTGCATGCCCTGGTCGAACCTCCCTCTTGACCAGTGCCAGATTCTGCACTTCTCGCCCTGACCTACTTGTGGTATTCCCTGAGCTCTGGTCATTGGAGCGCGTTTCTGTCCTGACTTCCAGCCACCCAAGGCCATGCCAGCATCAGCTCTGATGCTCACTCGCTCCCTGCAACATCTTCTCCTCTAGCCAACATGCCATTTGGAAACATCCAGTGGTGAGTCTTAGGGCTGAACACTTTCATGTGACTGAACCAGCCAGGTTCTTTCTGGATTTATTCACAATTTTGCTGGAGCCAAAAGCCTTAAGAGTCTTCTTAGTTAACATCTGATTTTTACCACTGTTGCCCTGAGAGTTTCTCCTGGCTTTAAACTGTAATGAAAACTCTACAGGAAAGCTTACATCAAGTTCATTGTATCTGTCCCAACTGGAAAGGTCCTGGGGAAAGAGAATCTGTGACTGTCACAAAGTAGTGCTGCTAAAAGCTGATGTGTGGTAGGAATATGAGATGAGCACAGAACTGTGGAAGGCTAGAGGAAAAAATTAAGGAGCAAGAAAGGCCTGACCATGTCAAGTTTTGTTGTAGGCAAAATTGCGATGTCTACAGAACCTAAAGCAAAGGTGCTGACCTAGATAGTCACAGGTCCAGCGAAACAGTAGGGAAATCACTCTCATAGTAGTGATCACAGCACATTGTCTTTGCATTTCTGGAAATTATCCATGTGTTTATGCATTTTTAATGGTTACAAGTTTATTTTATGTTTTACCTGAGCCCTATGCTCCTCAAACTTATTCAGACACCCCATCAGTTGGATACAAATAAAATATTTATTTCATTTACAAAATCTAGAATGTATGAGATAAATTTTAGGAGCAAAATAAAGACACAAAGACATACTGGAAGATAAGGCAAGGATTCAGGAAGATCTAGGAAACCAAGATTAATCAATGTCTCAAGGACGATGTCCATTCCAATATTTAAATTTTTTTCTTTTTTCTTAATATTTTTATTTTAGCATATTTTGGAGGTACAAATGTTTAGGTTACATATATTGCCTTTGCCCTACCTGAGTCAGAATTTCAAGCCTATCTATCCCCCAGAGGATGCACACTGCACTCATTAGGTGTGAATCCAACCATCCCCTTCTCTCCCCCCTCCCACCAGCCCAACACCCAATGAATGTTATTACTATATGTACACTTTAGTGTTGATTAGTTAACACCAGTTCAATGGTGAGTACATGTGGTGCTTGTTTTTCCATTCTTGGGATACTTCACTTAGTAGAATGTGCTCCAGCTCTATCTAGGATAATGCAGGAGGTGCTAGATCCTCACCAGCATTTGTTGCTTTTGGATTTTTTGATAAAGGCCAATCTTACTGGAGTTAGGTGATATCTAATTGTGGTTTAGATCTGCATATCCTAAAGAACCAAAATGTTCTACCTCCATAATTTCCCGAAATAAAAAAAAAAGTTAAGAAAAGAGGTGGTAGATCACCATTGTTTTTTGTGGCTGAGTTGAACTCCATGGTATACATATACCACATTTTATTAATCCACTCCTCTATTGATGGGCACTTGGGTTGTTTCCACATCTTTGAAATTGTGAATTGTGCTGCTATAAACATTTGAGTGCAGATGTATTTTTATAGATGTCTTTTGTTCCTCTGGGTAGATGCCTAGTAATGGGATTGCTGGATCAAATAATAGATCTACTTGTAGTTCTTTGAGGTATCTCCATATTGCTTTCCACGGAGGTCCCACCAGCAGGGTTTGAGTGTTCCTATCTCCCCGCATCAATACTGACATATATTGTCTTGAGACTTTTTGATAAAGGCCATTCTCACTGGAGATAAGTGATATCTCATTGCGGTTTTGATTTGCATTTCCCTGATAAGTAGAGATATTGAGGATTTTTTCTTATGTTTCTTGCCATTAGTCTATCTTCTTTTGAAAAGTTTCTGTTCATGTCTTTTAGTTTTAGATTACTAGAATTGTGATTTATGGTCTGTAGGAGAATATGTTTTTCCTTTTTCTAACATTTTATAATTTGTGAACACAAGAGAAATCTCATTAACCACAGGACATGTTATTTTTCTCATATGTTCATTTTCTGAGGACAAAGATTTACCCTTTCTGCCCAGGATTTTCTGAAGGCAAAGCAGTGTGTGCATTCATCAGCATATTTATACTGAAGGAGGGTTCCTCACCATTACATGGTTATCGACACAGTGCCTCAGAGCAGAAATTTTGGTGAATGTGAAGTTATGAGATCCATTGCTAATGTAGAAAACAGGAATGATTTCCAATGTCCATATCCCGGAAATGCCTCACTAAGTGAAGTTTGAGTCCATGCAGAGGACATGCCCAGTGTAGGCCAGAATACAGGTTCTAAAAACAGTTTGACCTTTCCTCATCAGTGGAATTCTTTGCAGCCTCCAAGATGTGACTCTTTGCTGGCTCCCAAGTCCATGTCTCAGCAGTGATGTCCAGAGGTAGACTGAGGGGCGCAGGACACGGACATCAAAGCCGGATCTCTCAGCGCTTTCTCTGCACCTGCTTGCTGAGCCCACACAGAACACTGCACTGCCCAAATCAACTAATCAGCCACCACGTATTACCGATTATCTCCCCCCACCAGTCTAAGGAAAATGACAAGATCATGTCAGTTGTGTTGTGAGGAAATGGACAACAGACAAAGAGACTCCTTTCTCTGTCTAAAAGGATGTCCTTCCAGCGTGGACACTGGAGGGAGAACATTGGGCCATGGTAGCAATTTAGAGTCCAGCGGAGGTGAGGAAGGCTGGAGAGAGACACTGGTGGAATGGCAACTCCTCCAAATAACAGTGCTTGGTGGAAACCACATCTGTACCGGCTCTGCCAGGTGGCTCGTTTAGGTCCGGAGAATGACACAGGCATGGGTCTTTTTGTTTTATCATCAGTCATCATGATCTGATATTAATAAAGCTGCACCAGATGTCTTACACTTGGCTCTTCTCTTTTTTGTTTTAAAATATTTAATTGACAAATAAAAATTGTATATACTACAATGTACAACATGAATATTTGATATATGTATATATTGTGTAGTGATTATCACAAATTAATGCACCCATCCATCACCACTCATAGTTACCAGTGTGTGTGTGTTGTGTGTGTATGTGTGTTGTTTTCCTTATCCACACCTGTTCGTGGACACTTAGGTTGATTCCATAACTTGGCTACTGTGAATAGTGCTGCAATAAACATGGGAGTGCAGATATCTCTTTAAGATAATGATTTTATTTCCTGTGGATTTATACCTAGAAGTGAGATTGCTGGGTCTTATGGTGGCTGTATTTTTAAATTTTTTGAGAAACCTCCGTACTGTTTTTCATAATGACTGTACCAGTTTGCATTCCCACCAAGAGTGTACAAAGGTTATCTTTTCTCCAAGTCCTGACAGCACAACCTGTTTTCTCTTGTCTTTTTGATCATAGTCATACTAACAGGTGTGAGGTGAAATCTCATTGTAGTTTTGATTTACCTTTTCTGGATGATTAGTGATTTTAAGCATTTTTATATACCCATTGGCTAATCGTATATCTTTTTTGGGAAAGTTTTTCTTCAAGTTCTTTGCCCATTTTAAATCAGGTTATATGGTTTTGTTTGGATTCCTTACATATTACGGATATTAATCCCTCATCAGATATATGGTTTGCAAACATTTTCTCCCATTGTGTAGGTGGCCTTTTGATTTTGTTGTTTGCTTCTTTCCTCTGCACCGCCAAGGAGGCAAACAACCAAACCAAAAGGCCACCTACACAATGGGAGAAAATGTTTGCAAAGCATATATCTGATGAGGGATTAATATTCGTAATATGTAAGGATCCCAAACAAAACCAAATAACCTGATCTCTGTGGAAAGCAATATGGAGATACTTTAAAGCAATACAAGTAGAACTACCATTTGATCCAGCAATTCCACTACTGGGCATCTACCCAAAAAATCAAAAGTCACTTTATGAAAAAGACACCTGCACTCGAATGTTTATAGCAGCACAATTCAGCAAAGGGCTCTCTTGTATTGATTGCCTTAAATCCTAAGAGATTATATTATTACTGTTGTAGTTGCTTAAAGGAAACAGGAACTCCAAGTAATATTTTCATTTATTGATCAGATATACATTGCTTGCCATTTAGGTTTAGTGAATAGGTACAGACAGGGCTATCTTGGACTCTACTTTAGGTGAGATGTGACCACTGAAAGCAGGTGACATTTTGATCTCGATGTGAATGAACCATCAGGCAGAAGTGCAGAGAGAAAAAATAACAGACATAGATAACACCTGAAAACCATCAGACGTTTTAGTCTCAGGACCAGGGGAAGAGTGCTGCATCCAAGCCTGACATCTTCTCCTGAAATAACTTGTCAAAGGCTTCACTCTGGGCCACAGTGAAGTGGTTTTTCCAGTCCCCAGAAATTCCTACCAAGCAGAGATCAAAGGAAAAGCATTAGGACATTGAGGTAAAGCCCCAGACATGCAACCCAGACTGTCACCCCATGTATCTCAATAGTCACATCAGTCTAGTCAATCTTTTCTGGGAAGAGTAAAGCAGGGCATCCTACAGATTTTGTGTTTTTTGTGCTCTATCAAAGCCCACTGAGCACAAATGGCGAAGGGGATGTATCTCATAAAACAATTGCCTGGATATAAAAATCAAGACTAGGAAGTTGAATATATAGTAAGAACAAGATATTTTTCATAAACAGAAGAAAATTTTTTATAACAAAACCTATCTAATTTCAGAGTGGACCTCCTGCCTTTGTGGATGGTGAACTCTACTGCAGAGGACATTTTAAAGCAGAAATAGTTTGTCCTGGATACTGAAGGTGGTGTCTACTGGGCTTGTGCCTTAAAGACCCTGTCCTTTCCTATGGCCCCACACAAGTTCCCGTGTTGTGGAGAAGCCACAGCATGTATTAAGCTCAGCAGAGAAGGAATGAGGGACATCTGTGTTCTTACCCTGGCTCTGCCTTTTCCCATCTGTGTAACCTTGTCCAAGTTCATAAGAAACTGTGGGTAAAATGGTCACAGTAATAAGAGTTCCCACCTCAGAAGGTTTTGTGGGATTAATGAAAAGAGATAACTCATGGAAATTATGATAGCTAATATCCACTGTGTTCTCCACGTGGCAGAACTTATGGCCATATGGACCACTCAGGAATAAAAAGGATACACAGGGAACAGATCGAATGGAGCTCAAGGGTATTGTGCTGTGAAAAAACTCAATGCCAAGAGATCACATACTATATAACTCCACTTAGGTAACACTCTCATAGTGACACATGTATAGAGCCAGAGAACAGATCGGTGATTGCCAGGGATTGTGGATGGTGTGATGGACCAGATCTGCATTTTTATGGTGGTGATCATGTATGACCCCATGTATGTGATAAAATTTTGTAGAAATATACAAACAGACACAAAAACAAGTGCATGTAAAACTGGTTAGATCTTAATAAGGCATATGGATTTCTGTGATGCCAATATCCTGGATTTGATACTGTCCTACGTTTGTGAGGATGCAGAGAAGGGGAAAGGCACATAGGAACTCTCGGCACTACTTTGGAAGCTTCCTCGGAATCTATGATTACTTCTAAGTGAAAAGTTAAATCAGTAAAGGCCGCCTAGAGAATCTGACACGCAAACATCTGCTGAGGGTCCTGGTGCTCTGGGCTTTCTCTTATCTCTATAGAAGCAGGAGGAGAAGATGAGCGATGTATCTTATGACCCTTTCTTACTACAGTCCTGCCAGGCCCATTTTACTCTTTATTCTGAAAATGACCAGTCCCCTCATAAGGGAATATGGGGTAGTTGGGTTTCAAACACATCTGTTTCCATGTCGTCCACTTCATGTGACTGCTGAGAAACAGCCCATCTGTGGGATACACCTTTGCTCCCCCAAAACACTGGCTCTCACCCTTTCTCAACATCGGTTCAGTGAAGACACGTGTTATATGGTTGTCTGGTGTGGAATAGTTGGACATCTTGTTCTCCTTCATGGCCGATAAGGAACTGTTTTGCAAGACTGAATCGATTTCATGTGGCTTCAATTTTTTACCAAGAAATTGACAAATCTTCTCCACACTGCCCCTGAAGTCCTATAGAAAGGAAAGATTGTCAGCACAGGCTATGAAACAGGTGCTTGAATTGTTAATATCTGTGGGCTCCTCTGCAATTTCTGATGTCTTATATGCCTCAGTTTTCAGATCTATAAATTGTAGGTTGTAAAGGTACCTACCACACAAGTTGGTTAAGCCTACATAATAAATTTCCTGGAAATTCTAACATTCAGCACTAAGTTTGTTCCCTGCTCAAAAAAAGTCTAGATGGATTCTGCTAGTTGCATGAATTTTAAAATGACTCTTCATGGTCCTAACTTCCACCCGCTTTGTGGCTCTATCATTCCTCATGTGTTCACACACCTCTTTCTTCCATAGGTGGATGAAGAAAAATATCACAGAAAAGAAGCACCCCTTCTTAACTGACCAACACTTAAGTGAACATATAGTAGCAACATTCATCGGGCGTCGGGAAGATGGGAAAGGGGAGGAGGGGATGGGTATATTCACACCTAATGGGTGCAGTGTGCACCGTCTAGGGGGTGGACACCCTTGAAGCTCTGACTCCGGTGGGACAAAGGCAATATATGGAACCTAAACATTTGTACCCCTGTAATATACTGAAATGAAATAAATAAATACGAATTAGAGTAAAATCAATAAAATATCTTGAATCTAAAAGGAAGGAAAAAAGGAAGGAAGGAAGGAAGAAGGAAGAAGGAAAGGAAGGAAGAAGGAGGAAGAGAGAGGAGGAGGGAGGAGAGGAGGAGGGAAGGAAGGAAGGAAGGAAGGAAGGAAGGAAGGAAGGAAGGAAGGGAGGAAGGGAGGGAGGGATCAATTGCATCAATTCCACCCTGGACCAACACCGGCTTTTCCTTGGCAAAACCAAGCCACGTTCCCCATCTGGAAGCAAAGGGGCCTGAAAAATGTGGTTCCTACATGGATAGTCACTTTCCAGAAACAGCTTTTCATTATAAAAGGGAACTTGAAACCTCAGCAGTCCCTGGATTAAATGAGTTAACAGAAGTACATTTGGAATAGAGAAAGGCTTTGATGAAAATTGGCTATTGTTATTGGCACCAGAATTGTTGCCTGTAACACAAAGTCTACAGTGGTTAGATTCCTGTTCGCGATTTCCCTCTTCAAGGCCTCCTCTCATGGGAACTCTGACTAGAGGGCTTTAACACGGAACAATGTCTGAGAGTTGAAGTGACATGACTCGTGCCTAGGCTGCTAGTCCCACAGCCCATCCAACTGCCATATGGCTCCCAGGTTGGAGACAAACATAGGTGCTTGGGGCATGTTGGTGAGATGTAGGAGTTATCAGGTGGGAATATCTTTGTATGTAAATCACAATTTCCATGTAATAGCATATATGTGCTTCTTGGAGAATGTGCATAAACCAAAGAGACAAGGATAAGATGTGCCAGGCTGCCATTCTGACCAAACGCCTTTAGAGTGTCTTATCCTGAAAACAGAGACATGTTTGAAAGGAACATAGGTCTGTAATGATGTCATAGCTAACACACACACATGATGGCAGACACTATTCTAGATACTGTCCATTGTATTCTCACGGTTCAGAAAGGTACCGCTGTTATCCAGGTTTAGGGCTGGGGATGCTGAGGCGCGGAGTGGGTAAGAACTTGCTGAGGTTGCCCAGTCAGTGGCAGGAAGCCTGGCTCAGAGGGTCAAGGTCTTGCCCACCGCACTGCACTGCCTCTCAGGAATGTCTCTACCCAGAGGAATAGAAAGGGATCTAGGAAAGAGAGGACAGTATGGCTAACTCTAGGAGGGAAAGGAAAGGAGAATTACCTTTTGCAGCTCCTCATAGAAAATCAGTAGGAAGGACCCCATTTCTCTCCTCTTTATCCATCCAAGAACATGATCGAACCAAGATCCGTAAACAACTGCAGTAATAGGCACAAAAGACAAAAGCTAATTATTCCTCTCAAACTCATATTCCTTGAATATTTATTGCCATTCCTAAGTGAAAGTTCATGTTTATTTTGTGGAATATGTAAAAGGAATAAGGCCAAACCTCTCCCTCTAGAAGCTTACAGTAAAATAATCAAATAAATCAGCAAATCTGAGATGCATTTTTCTATGTACTGAGAAACAACTATACTCATTCTTACCACTAGATTTTTTTTTAAGATATAGGGTCTCACTCTGTCGCCCAGGCTGGAGTGCAGTGGTAATCATAACTGACTGCAAGTTTGAACTCCTGGACTCAAGGTAACCTCTCACCTCAGCCTCCCAGATAGATGGGACTACAGCCATGGGCTTCTACACCCAGCTAAATTATAATTTGTTTGTAGAGACAGGGCCTTGCTATATCACCCAGGCTTGTCTTGAACTCCTAACCTCAAGAGATACTTTTTCCTTGGCCTCCCAAAGTGCTGGGATTATGGCGTGATCCACAGTACCTAGCCTAGATTTTTTAAGTGTAATAGAAGTGAACTATATGTGTTTAGGTGTTCTTAAATTCTACACATTCAATCAGTTTTGAAGGAATTTCTAAATAGGGACTTTGACATCCATCTTTCCAGATGATATTGGTTTCTGTGCCAACAACTGGTGCATTATGGAGCTTTTTAACAAACAATGATGCACTTATTAATAAATGGTAATAGGACATCTCAGTATCACTTTGGGAAAGAAGATTAAATTAGATCTATTCCCCACATCATACCTAAGAATAATGAATCAGCAATTTAAATGTAAAAAATGTAACATGCATCAAAAGATAATATTAATAAATACATATTTAGCTTCCCTGTAGATAAAAAGGTTCCTAACTATGATTCAAAATCCTGATGTGACTAATCACAGTGGCTCACACCTGTAATCCCAACACTTTGGGAGAAAAAGGAGGGAGGATCGATTGAGGCCAGGAGATTGAGACCATCATGGACAACATAGCAAGGTCCTGTGTCTATACAATTTTTTTAAAAAAAATTAGCTGAGTATGGTGGTGAATGCCTCTAGTCCTAGATACTTAAGAGGCTGAGGTGAGAGGATTTCTTAAGCCCAGGAGTTTGAGGCTGCAGTGAGCTAGGATCACACCTCTGGGCTCCAGCCTGGCGATGGTGAGACCCTGTCTCTTTAAAAAAAAATTCCTAATATGATAAGAGATTAAAACATTAACATACATTTTTAAACATTGCATGACCAAAAAAAAAAAAAGAGTTAAAAAGACAACTGACAAGCTGGAAGAAATATTTGGAAAAGATATTACAGACAGTGAACTAATAGTGCTAATTTATTAAGCTCTTAAACATTAATGGGAAAAAGATTAAATCTAAATAGAAAAATGGGGAAATGACATAAACAGACATCACCAAAGAAATCTATGAA